TCTGTGGGAGGCTGGAGAGTACCCCCAAAGAGGGAAGTGTGGCTCTCTATGGAGAATCTCTGGGACCCTGGCCCCAAATCTTGGACCATGTCTGTACCCTGGCAGCATCACAGTCCCTCCTGACCACCCCAGACTGGCCCCCTAGCAGGATCTATACCCATGTGCTGGGCAGATTCAGGCTTTCTTAGGGAGCAAGATCAGTAGGGGATGGAGGGGGCACTCAGGGTGAATCAGGAACAGGGAGGGAAAGGATGGGGACAGAGAAGGGACCTGGAGCTGGCCCTACCCCAACTGGCCCACTCAGGTTTTCACCCTCTGGCCCTTTGGTACCCCCCCACCTCCGGGCTGTATATGCTGCCTGAGCCAGGCCAAAAGCCCCGCAGGTCCAGCCTGGGCAGGGGCAGGGTGCTTGAAGACTGGAGCAGGTGCAGGCTAGGTTGGGTTTCCAGAAGCTATATATATATATAAAGACTGCTGGGAGCCCCAGGGCCAGCCACTCCCTGAGGTGCAACACTGTGGGGGCCCAGCCAGGCCTGAATTCCTACCCAGAGGCCAGCTCTCCATTTATAGCCCCTGGGCAGGCAGGCCCAGGGAGCTGAGTAGGGAGGACTGAAAGGGCAGAGGGAGAAGGTGGCGCCCAGGCAGCTCCCTCCCTGCCTCCTGCCAAAGGAGCCCCTCATGGTGAAGACAGAAGCAAGGCCCAGGGCAAGGTGTGTGCTTGCCCTGGTCACAGAGCCCAGAGGTCTGCTCAGCCTGGCACTGGAGGGAGGAGGGAGGGGTGCTCAGGGACCGGCTCCCCCTCTGCCTCCCACCAGTGGTCCCTCAGCCCATTGCTAATAGCATTCCCAGAACAAATTCAGCACCTGTGGTTCAGGGGCACCTTTGACTAGACTCCACAGTATAAGAGTTTGAACTCTTTCGGCTCCCAAAGTCGATGTTATTTTTCCCACCCTGCCCTCAACCCAGCCCTAGGACTAAAAAGACACCAGGTCCCAGGGCAGAGACATACTTGTCCCTGCTCTTTGGGCAATGGGGATGGTATTGCCCAAATGAGGAATGTGTGACAATCCTCTCTCCAAAGATATGGCACAATCAAAACGGGGATTCCAGGCAGGTGTGGATCCCAGAACTGGGGAGGTCTGTAAAAGTCACTGAGTTCAATGAGTTCCAAACTTTTTTTGAGCAGCAGAAGCCTTATAGCAAACAACAGTTCCACTTGAAAGCCTAATATAAAGGTGGCATTTTACCACTAGAATGTGTGTGTCCTTTAGAACAGTGTTTCCTGATTACAGAAGGTGAAGCTACAAATCAAGTTTAAAACTGTCAAAGAAGTGTAGATTTAGAAGTCACAAGTGATAAAATATTAAACATATTTGGTAAGTTCAAACACATTAATATAATATTTACTTATTCATTATAAAGGCATCTTGATGACAGCCCTAAGGAAGCTTTTATGAACACAAAACACAAAAAGGTTGGTTGTAATCACTGAAATCTCAACATCTAATTTATTTCTGTATTTTCTTTGCTTGCTCAGGTTTGAGAAAAATCTAGATTTGCATAAATCAATGGTTTTAAGAGCTCACCTGGGAATCTCAGAGTACCCTTCAATTAAGTGGATCTACTCATTTAGTCACCCAAGAAAGATTTATTGAGTGCCTACTATGTGCCAGGCATCCTGCTAAGGCTTAAACAAGGAGGAAGAAATAGTTGTCTCAATCTATATCATTCATAAAATGGGTACCTACATTCCTCATTGTGAGTATAAGTCAAATGAGAAGACTCATGCTTATTATAAAAGCCAGATCTCTCTATAATATATGATTACAATATTGCAGCAGGCCTGAGCCTTGCTTAGGAAGGGCATGTGTCTAACAGAGCATGGATGTCTAATCATGTATCGACTGTCCAGTTTTGAAGAAATACGACTATCCTCGTTGTCACAGTTCAAGACATTCAAATACATGCATAGAGGTCCAAAAGGTACGATACCACCCATTTATCAAGTGCCTACTATGTGACTGCTGCTGTGGTGGTTTCTGGAAATGGCATTGTGGACAAAATGTCCCTGCCTTCATGGGGCTAAATCTGTCATGAACAAACTAATAAGGAAAATTGTAAAAAGAGTGTCACTACCAGGAAGAAGATGAGCAGGATGATGTGACCTAGAGTAAAGGAAGCAGCCGTCTTAGAGAGAATGTTCAGAGACATCTCAAACAGGCAATGTTTGAGCTGAGACCTATTATAGGAAAAGCAGCCAATCCTGGGAAAAGCCCTGGGAACAATGCTATGAGCTTAGAGCAGCAAGTACAAGACTTCAAGGCAGAATCTTGTTCAGATCATTGGAAGAAAGGAAAGGTCAGACTAACTAGAATGGAGTGACCAAGGGGAAGTTGGTTCCACGTGAAGCTGGAGACAGGCTGAGGTCAGCTCATGCAGAGCCTTATAGGTTAAGGAAATGAAATGGAATAAGAAGCTTTGGGGGAGTTTGAATAAGAAGAGTGATACAATTCCATTTACATTTTTAAAAGTCTACTCAGGCTGCTGTCTAGTGAATGGATTATACCAGGGGCAAGGAGAGAGTAGAAATGAGAATGGCCAGGTTATTGTGGTGGTCCAGGCCAGCAGTGTGGCAGCTTAGTCCAGGATGGTGACACTGGGGATGGACAGACTTGAGCCATGTCTTAGAGTTAGAGTGGACAGGTCTTCCCCATGCCCCAACCTCTCCTCTGGAATTCCAGCCTCATGAATCCCCCTGCCTACTCCGTACCTCCACCTGGATGTCCAATATGCATTTCACATTCTGCCCAAACCCGAATGCTCGATCTACCCCCTACAAACCTGCTCTTCCCAACTCCAGTCTTCCAAGGGTCATCATTAACTCCTTTCTTGTCCCAATGCCCACATCCAGTCATGAATAAACCTTGCTTACTCCATCTTGAAAATATACCTATAATTCAAGCACTTTTCACCAGGTCCTCTATTGCTACCCAAATCTGAGCTACTGGCACCTCTCACTTGAATTACTGTAACAGCCTCCTTGCTGTACTTCAAATCTACTAAACACAGTCCTGCCCCAGAGCCTTTGCACATGCTTATCCCTCTGGCCCCACATATCTGCAGATACCTGCTTCATTCAGGTCTCTGCTCAAATGTAACCATCCCAGAGAGGCTTTCCCTAACCACTCCATATAATGAAATAATCTTCATCATTTTGTTCCCTTGCCTTGCTTTATTTTCTTCATAAAACTTATAACCTCCTCACATCATATATGTCTTTGCTTATTTGTTTATTGTCTGTCACCCAGCCCTACAATGTAAACACCATGCACGCAGGGTCTTGGTGGTGTTCATTGCTGTAACCCTAACACCTTGGACCAGTACCTGGCACATAACAGATACTTCACAATACGTGAAGTTCCAGGAAACCCCTGTGGCTTCAGTTGGGCAAGGCCCCGCACTGGAATATGGAGCTACTTTGTCATTGCTCAGCTAGGCTGTGCAGACTTTTTTGAACGAATAAGCAAAGGTAGTACTATGGAGTGAAGGGAGGTGATCACTTCCTGAAAGGGGACCTTCTGCACTCCCAGTGGCAGAGAAGTGAAGAAGGTAGGACCCCAAAAGAGCCTTCTGGGTTTGGTGGGAAAGGAGGGCTTCCCAGGGTCCAGAGGGCCAGTGAGGATGGCTTCCAGAAATCAGTGACACAGGCATAAAGATCACTCTTGCTTAAATGTCTGGCTTCCAGGAGGAGAGATCCAGGCAGGGGGATAGTTCTAGCCCAAGTGCTGAGAGGATGGTGCGTACTGCAGATTCAGGAAGAAGCTGAGTGGCCCCATGGGGGTGGGTGACACTGGGGCTTGCATGGGAGCTGGAGATCCCACAGGGGGTTGCCTTCTCCTCTGTTCCCCGCCTCTCCAGTGAGAGACACAGCTGGCCTGGAGACCAGGCCCCTGTCAGGGCTCTGTGCCCCAAACAACAGGAAGGAAGCCTGCTGGGCATCGAAGCCTGAGGGCTTCCACATCCTTGGTCTCTCACCCCCACCGGATTATTCCAAGAGATTGCTGTTATCCCCAGATTTATAACGTGGAAATTGAGGTTCAGGAAGGATAGGTGGCTTTCACAAAATCACACAGTTGGGAAACTTCGGAGTCTGGACTCAGTTGGTCTGCAAACTCCACTCTCAAAAACTACACTCTGAGGCCATGTCCTCAGGCCAGTTCCCTGCGTTGATGACCTTTGAGAAATGCACTGCCCTTGGGCCAGCACTGAACGACGTGTAGACAAACCCCCAACAAGCGGAGTTTTCCCATCTGAAGAGGCATCTCAGCCTAGACCCCGGGCCATGGCACTGGACGCCTCGCTGCAGAAACGTGCCGGAGTACGGCCCCAGGCAGGACCCGAGTTGGAGAGATTAGGGCAAAGCTTTAGCAGCGATCCCGGACTTTTTGTACAGACGCGGCTGGGGTTCTAAGCATCCAGGGAAGAGGGCTGGGCCGAGACCTCTGAGCGACTCCCAGAGCAGGGACTAGCCGGGTATCAGCCTTTTTGGGTCTCTCACCGTCTCACAATTTCAGCTCTGTATGTTTCTGCCCCCAACATCTTGTTTCTCTTCAAATCTCTCACGATCTGATTTCTACTTTCGCTCTACTCCTGGGGACATTGGAAGGCTCAAAGTCAGCTCGGAGGGGAGCGCGCCGCCAGCGTTTCCCGCGGACGCAGGAGTCCGGTGCTGGAGAGATTTGGAAAGGGTGTGCCCGAGAGCCAAGTACAGCCGCGCTGGGCTGCCAGTCTCTGCCTCCCTCCCTGCCAGGGGAAGGGATGGAGCGCGGGCGCTGGAGTCAGGGGCGGAAGGGCGGGACACTCTCTAGCCTCTGCGGCCACCCAGGGGACCCCAAGCCCCGCCCATCTCTGTTCCTATTGGCCTCGGGCTCCCCCTCCCCCATCTGTCCGCTCGGGCGCCGCGCGTTCAGGCTATACTACGGATAAATAGCCCCCGGCGCCTGGCGCAAGCTAGGGGTGGGGAAGCCCCGGGGCGCTGCCGCCTCTTCCCCAACCTCAAGTCAGTCGGACAGGACAGGCGGGGTGGCCGGCAGTTGAATGTGCATTCAGACTCCCTGCACTTTGCTATCACACAGCCCGGGTTCCCGAGCGGCAGAAAGTTCCGGGCAACCCTAGGGTGAAGCCAGGACCGCGCCGCCCCCCACCGGAATATGGAGCTACTGTCACCGCCGCTCCGCGACGTAGACTTGACGGGCCCCGACGGCTCTCTCTGCTCCTTTGCCACAGCGGATGACTTCTATGACGACCCGTGTTTCGACTCCCCGGACCTGCGCTTCTTCGAGGATCTGGACCCGCGCCTGGTGCACGTGGGCGCACTCCTGAAGCCCGAGGAGCACTCGCATTTCCCTGCGGCCGTGCACCCGGCCCCCGGCGCGCGTGAGGACGAGCATGTGCGCGCGCCCAGCGGGCACCACCAGGCGGGCCGCTGCCTACTGTGGGCCTGCAAGGCGTGCAAGCGCAAGACTACCAACGCGGACCGCCGCAAGGCTGCCACCATGCGCGAGCGACGCCGCCTGAGCAAAGTTAATGAGGCCTTCGAGACGCTCAAGCGCTGCACGTCGAGCAACCCTAACCAGCGGTTGCCCAAGGTAGAGATCCTGCGCAACGCCATCCGCTATATCGAGAGCCTGCAGGCTCTTCTGCGTGACCAGGACTCCGCGCCCGCTGGTGCCGCCGCCTTCTACGCGCCCGGCCCGCTGCCCCCAGGCCGCGGCGGCGAGCACTACAGCGGAGACTCGGACGCGTCCAGCCCGCGCTCCAACTGTTCCGACGGCATGGTAAGGCCGGGACCCCAGGCGGGAGGAGAAATGAGGGCAGCACTTGGGATTCTGGGACGTGCTTCCAAGAGCAGGAAGCTGGCCTTCCGGGAGGTTGGGCCAGTATCCTTCCCTAGAATGGACCCTGGTGTCTTGGGCAATTGTCACTGGGGTAGCCTCGTGCTTTGGAAGACAGCGGGGCAGATGTGATCAGCCCGATAGGGGCGCTATTAGAACACCGCTGCGGCGACTTGAAGATCTTATCCCCACTTCCAAAATGCAGATTTGAGCTCCTAGGTGCCCGTCCGCCCTCGGTTTTACCCTGCACGCTACAGATCTCAGCTCTTGCCCACTGCTAACCTCCACTCCCAACCAGGACAGATTCGGGCTGGAGCTGGAGGCTGAGACTAGCGTTGGGGAGGGGGCGGCTATGGGGAGTGGTGTTCGGCCCCGCGCGGTCCCGCGGGCCTGACTTGGTCGCCCTTGCCGTTTGCAGATGGACTACAGCGGCCCCCTGAGCGGCGCTCGGCGGCGGAACTGCTATGAAGGCGCCTACTACAGCGAGGCGCCCAGCGGTGCGTATTCTGGGCTTCGCCCTGCTCGCTGCTCCTTCCCAGTCCCACTTGGAGCTGTCCTGACTTCCCTCTATCTAGGATCCCTCCCCCCACATATATACCCTGGGAGGTGGTTCAGGGGGCGAAATACTTAGAGTGTAGCTCCTTCTCCTTTCGTCCTACACTCCTGCTAGATTGTCCCCGACTCTCACAAGTCCTCAGTTTCCATTCTGCCCCAAAGCACTGGGAAGAGGAGGGAGACTTGCCCGCGGCTCCACCCCTGCTCACTAACCTACCCCTCCCCGCGCAGAGCCCAGGCCCGGGAAGAGTGCGGCCGTGTCGAGCCTAGACTGCCTGTCCAGCATCGTGGAGCGCATCTCCACCGAGAGCCCCGCAGCACCCGCGCTCCTGCTGGCCGACGTGCCGCCGGAGTCGCCCCCGCGCCCGCAAGAGGCGACCGCCCAGAGCGAGGGCGAGCGTGGCGCCCCCACCCCGTCCCCGGACACCGCCCCGCAGTGCCCGGCGGGCGCGAACCCCAACCCGATCTACCAGGTGCTCTGAGGGGGCGGGCGGCCGAGTCGAAGGACTCAGCTGCCCACCCTCCCGAGGGATGGTGCCCCTAGGGTCCCTCGCGCCCAGAAGATTGAGCTTAAATGCCCCCCTCCAACAGCGCTTTAAAAGCGACCCCTCCCGAGGCGGGAGAAGCAGAACTGGAGTGTGTTTCCTTCCCCCGCCTCCCTCCCCTAAGGCAAGGACATAGTCCGTTTTGCCTCGCGGCACCCTTCCTGGAGACCCGCTGCGATGGTCGCTGGTCGCTCTGGGTTCCTCTTCCTTGCCCCCTTCCCCATGGGGGAGGGGTGAGACCCTCGCAGACTTAAGCCCCACCCCTAGACAAACCGTTTGTTTGAACTGGGGCGGGGGCGCGGGCGCCCTCTCCTTTTGGGAGCCCTTGCGACATCCACTCAGGTGCACTCCAGTCCCGAGTGTAGCAGGTGTAACCGTAACCCACCCCCACTCCGTCCCCCGGTTCAGGACCACTTTTTGTAATACTTTTGTAATCTATTCCTGTAAATAAGTGTTGCTTTGCCAGAGCAGGAGCCCCTAGGGCAGTATTTATCTCTGAGGCATGGTGTGTGGTGCAGCAGGGACTTTGTACGTTTATACGGCAGGCGGGCGAGCCGCGGGCGCTCGCGCAGGTGTTCCGAATAAAGACGCTAATTTATACCGCGTTGGCTCCGGCTTTCCCTGGGCCTGGGGTGGGATCCGGAGGAAAATCTGCAAGCAGGGCCGCTGTTCCTCAGCGACCCCTGTAGGTGGCAAACGGATTGACGGCAAAGAGGAAGCCCGCCGCCCAGAGAAAGGAGGGGCTCCTATGTCGCCAGTTTGTGGAAAAGTTCCTCTGAGCTTGACGTACGTCACCACTCACAAGTCAGTGGTTCTTACGGAAGGATGCACAGATTATATGAGTATTTTTTTTTTAAATCCACATCTGCCCGCCCCCCGCCGCCCCGAGATTCTGATTTAATATATCTGCCCAGATACCCAGGGCCCGGTATGGGTATTTTTCGAGAGCTTCCCGAGTGATTCTGAAGTGCATTCGTAGTTGGTATTCCTGCCCCTCCGCACACGCAGTGAACCCAAGTGTGGTATTCAGAAGGACCACTGGGAGGAGGGGGCCCTGGGTGCCACTTGGCGTCCTCATGGGTATAAAGGGTGTGATAGGCGCTGGCAGCATTATGCAGAAAAACTAATTTAGTCTGGAGAAGCACAGTAAGCCGCATGGTACTTATGGGCTCTTGGTGGCAGCAAGGGGACAGCATAGACGGCCAGACAGGCAGAGACACCTCTACTCGGCCACTAGGGCAGCCTGGTCCTATCAGATGCTGTAAGAAGACAGGAGCCCACAGCCTGTGAGGAAAGGGGCACGTGGGAACTAACATTGTCACAGGCGGCATCAGTATTCCTATCAGGCTGTAAGCTCCCTGAGAGCATGGGAGGGGTCATTTATTTAGCCAGGGTGTTGGGGAGGGCTTTCTGGAGGAGGTGCCATTTGAGCTCTGCCTTGAGAAACAAGAGTAGACAATGCACCCAAATGCCCACAGACCCACACCCACCCACAGGAGAGAGACCACACAAACACACACACACACACACACACACACACACACACACCTATGCTCTCCTCTGAGTCCAAGGCCCCTGAAGGGATAATCTGGCAAAATTCTTCCCCATTCATATACCACCTCCCCACCTCCAGCACACACACACACACACACACACACACACACACACACACACACACACACTTGCCACTAGGAGCTCAGCAGCTCTTACATCCCCTAAAGACCATCTTCCTGAAAACCCTACAGGCCCAGTTTCAGGGTCTTCATTAGTCAAGGGGGCCCTAGGGAATGCAGGCAAGACATGATGCCAGAAGGAACAGCCTCATGACGTATCTGAGGACCTGTTCTCCCCAACAGTGTCCCTGAGGAGACTTGCAGAGCTGTTCTGTTACTAATGATCCTCCACTTGTCTTCTGGCCACTTCCCCAGATGCCGCTTGGGGTTCTGCACACTTCTTTGAGACACCCTGGGGCTCATTCACCAATTTATTCATTCAACAGATGCCAGGCCCTATGCTGGGTGAAAACAGAGACCATTGAATGCAGTTCCTACCCTTGACACAGACATTCGGGGGAGAGTGGGACCTTTTAACAGCGGGTTACATCAAAATGGATGAAGTGATATAGTAGGGGTGTGTGTGGTAGAGGAACACCACAGGAGCAAAGGGGAAGGGTCCCTGGCCAGTCTGGGGGAGGTATGGACAAGCAGGTAACCCCTAATAAGAGACTTGAAGGAGTTGATTAGGAAACAGGGGGCAAAGAAGGGTGCTCCAAGCTGAGGAAACAGCAAGTGCAAGGGACACATTTAGTCCAGGACACTTCTGGTTGCAAGGGACAGAAATACCACTTAAACTAGTCTGAACGCCCACAAGATGTGGTGTTAGAAGGACCTGGAGAAGATCCAGAGATGAGATGAAGAAAACCATGCCTTCTTAGGACTGAAGATGCTCATGGGAAGGGGCCAGAGGCAGGACTGCAATGGACTTCATTTGGGCTTTATCCTGAGGGAAAGTGGGAGCCATAGAGGAATCTAAACGGGAAGGATACAGATAAGTCTGTATTTTAGAAAGGCCAGTTTGGGCTCAAAGATGGATGGGAGAGAATAAGACTTGAGACAGGAAGACCTGTCAGGATGACGTGGAAAATGTCAGGCACCAGGACTCGGCTGCTTGCCGCCTCCCAGTCGCTCCACATCCCCACCAACAGGTGCTGTGCAGGTCAGCTGGAAGCCACCGCCGGGCTACTAGGGCTGGGCCTCACGTCCCTGCGTGCCAGTACTGTGCAGATGTCTGCTGTCTGGGCCACCCTTGGTGCTCAGGTGCGCTGCTTGCATGATACTGATTGGGTAATTTTTGAATCCCACTGTTGTTGATTGGATGTTAAAGCTTGTTGCTGATTGGATGTTAAAGCTTGATGCTAATTGGATGTTAAAGCTTGTAGTTGATTCGACGCTTTTTGAGTCCTACCAAGGGTATAAAAGCAAGAGGATAACAAGAAGGGGTTAGTGAGAAGATCAGAAGACAGGAAGAGAGCTGTAACACTAGGTGTGCTGAGCATGCCAGAGGAATAGAGGCTGTTCTCTGACTCTTCATTTGCCGCTCCCAGTTCTTTCCCAGGTCAAGAGCTGTAACAGTAGCTGTACACATTGCCGCGACAAGGAGGCCACTGGCATTGCTCAGAGGAGGCATGACCTGTCCTGAACTGGGGCCGTGATTGGGGAATGCACACACACACATGCACACACACACACACACACACAGGAGGCAAAGGATTGGATACACTTGTGTCAAATAAGGTGTAGGTGTTGAGGGGACAGCACAAAACCTTGAGGGTGCAGTCCCGACCTTCATACAGCTTCAAATCTACTGGGGAAAGAGCCGTTACACAAAGAACAAAGCGAATCAGTACAGCGTTATAAACAGTGAGAAGTGCTATAAGGAAAAGTAAAGGGTACAATGAGAGCCAATAACGGGGAATGAAAAGCTAATCAGATGAAGAGAGGAGAAGGCAGAGTTCCTGCACTGAGGGAACCAATCGTATGTGAGGAAGGCCCCAGTATCCTGTAGGGAGCATGCAATTAGAAAAAGATGCACCTCCTCCCTTGGGGACACTCCCCTACAGGGTCCATGACTAAGCAAGCAGAAAGCAGGCTGGACTTCAGCTCCCACTCATCTCTTCAGCTGGATGCACTTGTGCAGTGAACAACCTGCATAACTGTTCACCATGCCTTGTGTGTGGAGGTTCTAAGAAAGTGAGGAGAAAGAAGGAGCCACAGATGACTTCAGGCTCTGGTTTGTCTCTGAGTGGGCAGTGCAGCCATTACAGAGATGGGGACTTCAGGAGGAGAAGCAGGTATGGGGACACATTTAGTCCAGAACACTTCTGGTTGCAAGCAACAGAAATTCCATTTAAACTAGCCCACACTCCACAAGAGGGGATGTTAGAAGGACATGGGGCAGCTCACATATGGAAGTAGAGCTGTAAGCACCATGGCATCTATGGGCCACGGCAGCTAGGACTGGAGCCCCTCTCGCTCTTCCAGGCATCTCCCTTTCTTGTCTCTACTGGCTTCCTTCTCCCCTAGTCTATACTGGTTTTCTCCAGCAACTCAGGGGTTGTCTTAGATCTCACCATTAAAATCCAGTTAGAAAATTCCCAGGGAAGAAATCTAATTAGACCAGCTTAAGTCATGAGTCAGGATTTGAACCCAGGCAGAGGTCTCCGAAGACTGCACTCTTAGCCACTCTGCTCTGTGGCCTCTGCAGAGGAAGTCAGGGGAGGAAGTGAGAACATTTGGCAGGGGTGAGGAACTGCTGGAGACTGGATCACACTATGGAGAATGGGACTTGAGGTACCCTCCTGACCTGTCCTTTACCTCAATCCCCTCAAAGGGGACATCTAGGCGAGCCCAACTGCATTTGCAGTGTAGATGAAACATCCCTTGTTCATGGAGCCATTTCACCTGGGCTGGATCTGAGGAAGCACCAGGACCATGCTCTCTAGAGACATATGCGTATATCTTACACATATGTGCTCATACAATAACATTCATGCACACAGAGCACACCACCAGAGGCTCATACACTGTGAAGCCAATGGAGTTTAAGCTTCAGGTCTCCTCCCTTGTCTGAGCCCCTTCCAAGGCCCTGGGAGAAACCCTAGAAATACGTGCACCTGGTCTAGTTTCTTTTCCAATTTGCCAAAGTAAATTACTTTAAACAATTGGTTATGACCATTGTCTCTTTCTATTCTGACTTCCTCTTATGTTGGGTGGCATTGATGGGCATATTGGGGCTGATCCTATCTAAAGGTATAAATTTCACTTGAGTTTAGTGGAATATATTTTAAAGAAATGGAATATAAAACAAAAGCAATAATGATGAACCATTGTATAAATTAAAATGATTCTGACAATGAGAAGACAATTGTAGCCAAAAAGAAATTTAGGTCATAGCAACAGTAGTTTATTAAAAAAAAAAAGAAGAAGAAGAAATGGCTTTCTAATAGAATTACAGAAAAGACTCTTGCATTGTTTGATAATCCAACCAATGAAGAATAGTAAATTACCTGAACACATTAAAAAAGACTTAAATTGTTTTGCTGACCCAACACAAAATACTAATGCCACCAAAGATAGCATCCTCAACACAATTTTAATGAAACTTGTCAATTAAAAAATATTTCAAATTAACCACCACACAAGGAAACTCAAAATGCCTTGAACTCTTACAGCCTACAAATGAAAGAAACTTGACTGAGGTTTTCTTAAATTTGACATCAATCCTAAAAATGTACATGACATTTCCAATGAAGTTGTGAGCCTGAAAGAAGGTTCCTTAAATTATCAATGGTACAAAACAAGTTTTGATCAACCATGTTGAAGGAAAGACTGAATTCTCTCCCTGTTCTCTGTATAGAAAATATTATAAAACCATTGTCACGTGAAGAGGCAACCAAAAATGTGCAGCCTGGTGCAGGTGAAAAGAGGTAGGCAAGATTGAAAAAGGCAAAAAAAGGCAGCAAGACGAGGAAGGCGATAGGATGAGGAGATGAGGAGGAATGTAAAGTCAAAGATAATGATGTGACAATGTAGAATGAGTTG